CTGTCCATAACATTTTGATTGTTTCCATGTCTTGGCTAATGTGAACAATGCTGCAGTGAATGTGGGAGTACAGATATCTTTTTGAGATAGTGATTTAATTTCCTTTAAGTATATACCCAGAAGTGGGATTGTTGGATCAAATGGTAGGTCTATTTTTAATTTTTTGAAGAACTTTTATACTGTTTTCCATTATGGCTGTACTAATTTACATTTCCACCAACAATGTGTGGGTTACCCTTTTCTCTATGTCCTTATCAGCCTTTGTTATCTCATCTTTTTTATAATAGCCAGTCTAACAGGTGTGAGATGATTTCTCATTTGGGTTTTGATTTACATTTCCCAGATGATTAGTGGTGTTGAGAACCTTTTCATTTACTTGTTGGTCATTTATATGCCTTCTTTGGAGAAATGCCTATTCAAGTCCTCTGTGGGTTTTTAAATCAGATTTCTTTTTTCTACTTAGGTGTATGATTTTCTTCATATTTTATGTATATCACTAGAGTCCTGATGCCGAAATTCATGCAAGATAGCCTTCGCAGCCCCAGTTTCATCCGGAAGGTTGTCCAGACGGTCGTTCCACTGTTTGGCCATTCGGTTGATTTGTATATTATGCTTTTATTATTATAGATTTTATCAGATATATGGTTTGCAACTTTTTCTCCCATTCGGTAGTAGCATTTTCATTTTCTGATTTTTTTTTTTTTTTTTTTTTTTTGCTATGCAGAAGCTTTTTAGTTTAATTTAGTCCCAGCTATTGATTTTTGCTTTTGTTACTTATGCTTTTCCACTTCTGGGTATATACACTGAATGGCCAGATTATTATGACCACCTCATCAGTACTTCATTGGGCCACCTTTTGCCTTCAATACTGCGGTGATTCTTCTTGGCATTGACTCCACGAGATGTTGAAAGGTGATGTGAGGAATCTGACACCATGCCTGATGAATAGCATTGTCCAGTTCTGTGAGATTTGATGGTTGTGGAACCAGCTGCCTGATGGCTTGTGGGAAACTGATACAGGGTTAAGCCTCGGACTGACCTGCTGGCAAAGTCACAAACAAATCCTAGCTTAGAGGGCACAGTCCTCTTAGCATAATTAGGCTTGACCTTATAACACTCCCTAGATCTTATCTGGGAAGCTAATGGGCTGAGGAAGTGCAGGAAGTATAACCATGGTGTAAACAAGTGAAACTCACAAGAACAGTGTAACTTTGGTAACCACTACCTTGTTTACCTCTCACTATAAAAAGCTTGGTGAGGCCTGAGCACAGTGGAAGTCCTTCCTCTTGTGTTGGACTCGCCCACCTGGTCCCCCAATATTCCCAAATTATCTTGTGTCTTTTCTTTTTCATTTGTTGTGCGGCTCCTCTTCCAGACCCGAACCCTGAACCACGCAGGACATGGAGGGAAACACTTATGACAATGGCTCTTTTAACTTTGTCCCACAAATGCTCAATTGGATTGAGATCTGGTGATTGTGGGGGTCACCTAAGCAAGGTAAAGTCTCCCTCATGTTCTTGAAACCACTCCTGCACAATACGAGCACCATGGCATGGAGCATTGTCTTGTTGGAAGAAGCCATCTCCATTGGGATACGCCATCAATATGATAGGGTGAACTTGATCAGCAATGACACTTAGGTATGTTGTGCTATTCAGACGTTGTTCCACACGAATTCAAGGGCCCAAATCATGCCAGGAAAACATGCCCCAAACCATAACACTGCCCCCACCAGCTTGAAGGTTGTACTCATGCATGTGGGGTGCATGCTTTCATGCTGTTTCTGCCAAATTCTCATTCTGCCATCTGCATGATGCAACTGGAAACGTGATTCATCAGACCACATGACTTTTTTCCAATGTTCGACTGTCCAATCCTGTGTTCCTGTGTGAATTGGAGACGTTTTATCTTGGTAACTGCAGACAGCAAAGGTGTTGGAACAGGCCTTCGGCGTCCATATCCCATACGATGCAGTGTACAGCTAATTTGCCTACAAACGTCAGGTGGTCATAATAATCTGGCCACTTAGTGTATATGAAGAAACCCAAAACACTAATGCAAAAGAATACATGCACCCTTATGTTTATTGCAGCACTTTGATGGACACGTGGGTTGCTTGCCAAATCATTGCCAATATCCCTGTCAAGGAGCTTTTCCCTGTGCACTCCTCCGTAGGAGTTTTATGGTTTCAGGTCTTACATTTAACTCTTTAATCCATTTTAAATTAATTTTTGTGAGTGGTGTAGGATAGAGGTCCAGTTTTATTCTTTTGCATGTGAATATCCAGTTTTCTCAACATTCTTTATTGAACAGACTATTTTTTCCCCATTGAGTATTCTCGCCCTCATCAAATACTAGTTGACCATATATGCATAGATTTATTTTTGGGCTCTCCATTGGTCTATGTGTCTGTTTTTAATGCCAGTAATATGCTTCTTTTACTACTCTAGCTTTGTTGAATATTGTCATATATACCTTATAAGGGTCATGTAGCATGAGCACATATCAGTTCTATGTTCCTATATGTCTGCAACCCAAGGGAAAATGTCAAGCTCTCCCAGGAATGCTTTCCTCAAGCTCCATTATAATTGATATACTCAGGTTGTGTTTGCATTTTCTGCAACTCAACAAGGAGTGGCCAACATAATGATGATGATAATGATAGTTATAATGGTTAATAATCACTAGTACTTATATAGCATTTACCATATGCCAAGATCTGCTCTAACTTCTTTATATGCAGTAATACATGTTAAGCCTCACACCAATCCTATGAAATATGTATTGTTATTGTCCCCATTTTACAGATATGGGAATTGAAACATGGAGGTTAGTTTGTCCAAGGCTTGCTCAATGTCACACAGCTAGTAAGTGGTGGATTGGGAGATAAACCCAAGAAATCAAACTCAGAATCCCTTCCCTTAACTATTATGCTATACTAGAGGCCCAGTGCACGAAATTTGCGCACTTGCCTGGGGGGTGGGGTCCCTCAGCTCGGCCTTATGCCCTCTGGCAGTCCAGGAGCCCTCAGGGGATGTCTGACTGCCGTTGAGGTAGGAGAGGCTCCCGCCACCGCCACTGCACTTGCCAGCCCTGAGCCTGGCTTCTGGCTGAGCGACGCTCCCCCTGTGGGAGTGCACTGACCACCAGGAGGCAGCTCCCGCATTGAGTGGGATTGAGCCAAAACCATCTCCCTGACATTCCCCAAGGGGTCCTGGATTGCAAGAGGGTGCAGGCCAGGCCGAGGGACCGCACAGTGCACTATTGGGATTGGGACGCAGGAGGTTGGCCAGCTGGGGAGGGACTGTGGGAATGCTCCAAGGAGTGTCTTGCCTGTTTTGCTCAGTCCTGATCAGATAGACTCCAACAGCAAGCTAACCTACTGGTTGGAGTATCTGCCCCCAGGTGGTCAGTGCACATCATAGCGACTGGTTGACTAGTCGACTGTCTACCCCCGGGTGGTCAATGCACATCATAGCAAGAGGTTGAGTGACCTTAGCATATCATTAGCATATTACGCTTTGATTGGTTGAATGGACAACCAGACACTTAGCATATTAGACTTTTATTATATAGGATTGCTTTTCAATTTCCCATTTTTGCAGGGTCCCTGATCTCTTTGAGTTATTTTCTTGAATCTCTGCCTCACTTGACTTTGAGGAGAGAAGGGCACCCTGTCCTTCCCTCTCCCAAGAGTAAAGAGGTGGACTTCTCTTACCACAAGCACTACAATTTCCACAAATTCAATAGCTCCTATGATGGCATTCTCCTTTTTTCTCCTAAATTGTCTAAACCAGGGGTGGGGAACATCTGGTCTAAGAGCCATATAAGGCCCATGAAATCATTTGGTCTGGCCCTGCCCAGGCATTAGGGGTGAGTTAATTAAATGTTTGACCAAATATAGCAGGCCAATTTTTAAGTTAATTTTGTATGGCCCATGAATGAATCAAGTAATCTTTGCTTTAAAAAAAAAAAAAAAGCTTTTGTGAAGCTTTAATTTATCCCCATGAATTTATCCAATTGTTTTGGGGAGCTAGTCTAGTTTTGAGTTTATTTTTAAGGAAATAATAATTTGTAAAAAATATCAAGCTAACTTCTAATTACTCTTTTTTGGAGTGATGGAATAAATCAGTTATTTAGAAACTACAGTTAGAGATGAGGAGCTCTTAAGTGGTTAATATTTGTTTTGACACCCTGACCACATTACTAAAATGTGCTTTCAGATGTTTCTTTTTCTACTAGATATAATTGTTCATGTGAATCCAGTATATTTTCTTAACCCCAAATAGTTTCTAAATGCTATGGTAGTGGAAATTGAAATGAAAGTAAAGTTTGACAGTATAGCAATATCGTGTGCTCTAGAGCATGACACTTTGTTCTTGCTAGACTTTCAATACATATTGATTGAAGGAGAACAATTATGTGCTAGACTTTATAGCTTTCATTCTGCTGTTTTCTACTGCCAGGTATGAAATCTGCCTACTTATGACCCTGAAGTATTTTTTTAGTGCCTCTCAAAATTCTAGGAGACTCTTAAAAAATGAGAGAACTCAGAACCCAAAGTAACATAGATTTGATGTTGCATGTAAAAGTAACCAACATGCTCATTTACCCTCCTTTATTTATTGTTCCAAGCCCAACAAATATCATCTATATTTGAAAACTTTATTGTTTAGGGAATAACATTAAACATCCCTACTTAACATTCTTAATGGACTCTTGCCTTGAAATTATTATTAGTCTTCTGCATTAATTAGATAGAGTAAATGTAAAATAAAAAGTGATTACATCAAAATGGCTTTTGGGGGATGCTTTGGGAGAAAACAGGTAAATCTAAGCCATACATTTCTTCGCAGTGCAGCATTAAAATTTCAGACTTTAGCCACAGTTGTGATTGGTTTTAGTTTGTTAGCTGCCTGGAGCGTTATTTTAAGAAAGCAGAAGCAACATCATTTGCACACTCCTTATAGCACACACACCTTAACCCTGACTGGTTTTAGGTCCAGTTTTCAAAAGAAGTGAAGGCAAGATGAAGAAGCATTTGCTTTTCTGGGGAGTCCTGGCCATTTTTGTTAAGGCTGTTCTTGTGACAGGTATGTAATATTTTGAAAATAAACCCAGATGAAAGGAAAAATATAGCACAAATCTGTTCTTCAGATCTAAACATTAATGTTTGTGCTTTAGTTGGCCAGCTAGCTGGCTACTTTTCTCTAATATGCCTTAATCTTTATATGGGCAGTGATATTTATGCAGACAAGACTCATTATAATTCTTTTTCTCTTATCTGTTTGAGTACTATAAACTAGAGAATAAGAAAATATATATTTCTGAATAAGTATTGATAGCTGTACTTATATGAATATCCATATTGATTCTTAAAAATCAGTAGTCCTCTTCTTGAGTGTCTTAAATTCGTATTCAGGGAAATTAAGTAATAATTACTTTAAATACAACATAGACTCCATTGGAATTTTATTTTCTGAAACAGACTAGTATTAGTTCTAAGAACTTTTCTGGATCTGGGCCTACAGATTTATTAATAATGTTCAATGTTCTACAGGGCCTATAACTTGATGACCAAACTTTGGCTATTTTATTTATTAACCCTTCAAAGTATTATAGAAAATAAAGTACATTCTAAATATAGAAGTACAGTTTTTAATAATTTTCATCTAGAAGGGCACATGATTAGTGTGATATAACTTGGCTGGATTGTTTCTAAAACTGAGTTTATTCTTATTTCAAGACTGACTATGATATAATTAAGAATAATCCTTTAAAATATATTTCATACTAATTTAGCATTAAAATAATGAATTTCTAATTATATTTACAATATAAAGATAGCAGTAAAACATGTACAGTAATGTATCTATACATATGTATAAATACACACATACATAACACATATGAGCTGTCATTTATTGAGCACATATTAGGTTCTAGGCATTATGCTAACTACTTTACATATACGATTCTATTTATTTATTTTTTTAAATATATTTTATTGATTTTTTACAGAGAGGAAGGGAGAGGGATAGAGAGTTAGAAACACCGATGAGAGAGAAATATTGATCAGTTGCCTCCTGCACACCCCGCACTGCGGATGTACCTGCAACCAAGGTACATGCCCTTGACTAGAATCAAACCTGGGACCCTTCAGTCCGCAGGCTGACGCTTTATCCACTGAGCCAAATCAGTCAGGGCTATACTATTCTATTTAATTCTCACACAACCATTTGAAGGATAGGTGCTATTATAATTTCTACATATAGTTGAGCCCATTGAGATTTAGAGAGGCCAAATATCTTACCTAAGCTCACACAGCAAGCATGTAGTAGAACCCAGGCCCTCTGACCCTCTGACCCATACTCCTACTTTCCTATTTTTCCTGTATAAGAGAATCGCCTTTTAGTAAATTAATTATGCTATTATGTAGAATATGTTGTTAAGTCTATTTTCTTATTTGTTTGAACTGAATTAAATTAAATTTAACAAATTTTATTGAGCACCTACTATATCTCAGTTGCGCTTTGAATAAAGTAAGGCACAATCCTTAATAACAGATTTGTTAGGGAAAATGCTGCCTGTCAGTGAGAGAGAATGTTGAATCTATAAGTCTTGGTGAATTGAAAGTATTTGTACATTTTCTAGCAGGTATGTAGGCTGCCTAATATTTTTATATAACAACTGTAATGTTAGTTTTTTCCTAAATTTCAAGTAAGAAAATAAACTATATGCCATAAATAAAATATAGACATTTTCTATTTAAGACTTAATTGTCAACTCACATATTTGATTCAATTTTTATTTTGGTCAGGTATTTCTAGCTCATTTGTACTTTAATGAGAAAGCATTTAAGATTCATGGATACAGCAGCAGGGAAAGGACCTGCTTAATTCCTCTTACTCTTCAAAATGTTAAGAAAGTTATATGATGATCTTGAATTGACTTCATACTGTTTCTTCTCCAGTGCTGTAGACTTTTACCTGAAGGTTTATTAAGAAGTTATGAATAATAACATTATAAAATACTTCTAACAATTATAAGTACAATAACAATGATCTTAAAATGTTTTTGTAATAATTATCACAAAGACTGAAATATGCAATTAGATCCTCTCAGCTCTGAGACCATTTCTGGAACAATTAGGCTTTCAGTAACATTGATATCTATCCCAGTCATTAACCTTTATAACTTTATGTGCTAAATTTTTGTGTTGTTGCTTTTTTCAGTTGAGGCTTGATGTGAGGGAATTTTAAAGGTTACTTAGCTAAAATTATAGGAACAAAATATATTTAACATTATTTTTACTTAATTAGCACTATTAAATAAAGCTATTTACTCTTCAAACATCTGTTAACTGTTCTAAGTCCATATATTAACACCTTTTCTTTCTTTATTCTTTGCAACATCTACCAGACCTCTTTGTCTAATATTCAGATTAAGGCTTTAATGGTCATCTGTGAATTTATTCATTTATTAATTTTTTCTGCATTTGGGCATATTAAATTAAATATACATTTACTCAGTATTTTCTGAATTGTTTTTGCAAATTTGTAACATTTTATATCTATATATACTGAAACTTTAAAAATAATTCTTATGAGAAATATTAATATAGCACCTGTTATTTTGATTGGATCATTATATCATAATAACCTGATTTTTACTACAAAAAAAGAAGAAGAAATTAAGTTTAGGAGGACTGTAGTGGAGAATATTTAAAATCGTAGGAAGGAAGGTTATTTTGGGGGAAGTGTATCTGTGCTCAGCTCTAATGCAATGTAACAAACTATGTATATAAAGGGGAGTCCAGTGAAGGACGTGGCATTTCACACTGGGTTTACAAAGGCTAATGTTAGTTTTTGTTCACTTTTGAATGGAATGCTTTGGTCTGAGAGAAATCCAATCTAGATTTTTGTTTTCTCTCTTATTTTGGCATCTGGTACTCACGTTTACAAGGCTACATCACTCAGAGACCTGTGCTCCATTAAAAGCATTGGCTTAAAACCAGAATTCTTTCAGCTCAGGTGCACCTAGACTGGTCCAAGGGAAGAAGAAAATTCCTTTTGGATGTCCTTCACTACACTGTGAGATTCTACTCAGCTATTTTAGATTAGGAAGGAGAACAAATGGAGAAAGCTGAAATTGATCAACCATAAAACTGATTTTTTTTCTGCAGAAAATAAGATTAACTCAATACAAAGTTGATAAGTAGATTTTCATCCCCATTTCTTCTTCTTTTAAAATATATATATATTTTATTGTTGATAGTATTACAGATATCTCCCATTTCCCCCCCTTCTATCTTCCTCCTCCTAGCTCTTACCACCCCATCCCCACCCCAAGTCCATTTCTTCTTAATACATTGTATTTTTCCAGCCCAAGACGAAGATGAAAGGACTGTTCTTGTGGACAACAAATGCAAGTGTGCCCGGGTTACTTCTAGGGTCATCCCTTCTCCCGATGATCCTACTCAAGACATTGTGGAAAGGAACATCAGGATTATGTATGTGGTATTTTATATTTCACTTCTTCATGTTGTAAGCAGAGATATTCTGTCAAATCAGTCATTGTTTGAAGGTAATACCTATGTCTTGCTCCTCTTTGTGATATGTAGCACTTGACAGGAGATTGAATCTAGTTAATGGACCTGAGTCAGTTATGCACAAGCTGGGAGCAGGAACAAGGTTTCCACACAGCCTAAAACCAGTCAGCTAGGTCAGATGATTATAACTGAAGGTTCAGATCTAGTCATCAACATGCCCTGTTTGTATGGAGTTATTTCCGTTTGAATCTGAACTTTTAGTCGCTCTTGATCAGTTCAAAATGAAACTTGACATAACACTAAAAGCTTTATTTTGTACCACATCTGAACTACAGAGTATTTTACATAGTACTCAAGTGGTGGCATAAGAGGTAAGGCAGACTAATCAAATTGACTAATTTGGTTTAGTTTTCACTCGTCCATTGGACTCCAGATATTCATTTAATTTCACATGTAGTCCAAGTTATAAGTTATGAGTCTTGATATTTAATTGCCAAAATGCTAATAATATTTAAGAAATGAGGTTCCTATTGGATCCAATCAGTAAAGCCTTCCTTGTGAACACTTCTGCCTTGAATAGTTTCCTAACAATTGGGTACCTCTTTCTGAAACAACATAGCATTCAATTCCACCTAATCAATGGAAGAAGTATAATGTTTTAAAATTTTGTTTCAAGTTCTGGTTGGGTCACTGGTTGTGCTCTTGTATGCAAGTTACTTAACTATAAACTTCAACTTGCTTATCTTTTTTTTAAAAAAATATTTTTATTGATTTCAGATAGGAAGGGAGAGGGAGAGAGATAGAAACATCAGTGATGAGAGAGTCATCGATCGGCTTCCTCCTGCACACCCTCAACTGGGGATCGAGCCCACAACCCAGGCATGTGCCCTGACCAAGAGCCGAACCTGGGACCCTGCAGGCCAGTGCTCTATCCATGGAGTCTAACTGGTCAGGGCAACTTGCTCTTCTTTAAATAGGGGGAAATAGTATATATCTCATGGGGCTACTATAAAGATAAATTGAGATCTATTCTTTTTAGAAAATACTAAAAAAAGTATTTGCTGTTATTCATCCACCTAATCTACATGCCAATTATCTTTATGTTACTATACTTATTTATTTTTTGTCTAAAACTTTACATATGTCTCCTTTTCCCCCGATTGTTACTATACTTCTTAAAATACCTTGGTTTACCCAACATTGTTACTGCGATGAATTACAAATGCCTCGGCCTAACCTACAACACTGAGCATAATGCTCAAGCTCTTCCATTGACACTTTTTTTCACCTCATGTTTGAAAATCCAGAAATATTGTAGTGCCCTTATTTTTCCCCACTCACAGTGCTTTCTTCCTCTTCTATTTTTGCATGTTGTTCCTCTGCTTGAAGAACCCTTTCTCCCACTCCTCTTAGCCTGGCTAACTTCTTCTCAACCTGCATGTCTTAGGTTAGACATCACTTCCTCTGGCAGGTTTTCTCGGACCATTCAGACTCTATACCACTGAGCTCCCTTTAGAGAACAGTTGGAGAAGCATGCGACTGGAAGGGATGGATGGCATTCATGACATTAAACATTTTATGTTTAAATCTTCAGATTTTTAAATGGCACTCTATAATTCTCTAATTCATCTTTTTTTTCCTATGACCATTCTTTTTATGATATATTTTTTTCTGAATTCAGATAATTCAGTCACTTCATCCACTTTGCCTGATGTGTATTAATGGTTCTCTGATTTCATTTCTAAGAGTTCTATTATTATTGCCATGTCATTATGGCATTATTCCCAACTCCATCACTTCCTAGCGATATGACTTTGGGTAAATTACTTGACTAATTTGAGCCTGTTTCCTAAACTATAAAAAAGGGATACAATATATGTATGTAGATATACACATATACTTTATAGGGTTGTGAGAATTAAGTGTGATAATGTGTAAAAGTGTCTAGAACACTGTTTGACCCAAAATAGACATTCATACATGTTTATTCCCTTATCTCTATCAATATTTAAAGCCTTTTCTGATAGTACTAAAGCCTTTCAAGCTAATAAAGAATAGGTCCTTTCATTCATTCAACAAACATTTATTAAGCGCTACTGAATGCCACTGAGGGTTGGAGTTGGGGACTGTTGGAGAATTTACAGGTGAATAGGGAACTGTAAACAGTTAAAAAGCCAATTACAGTACAGTATTGTAGATGCTATGATGACAGGAATAGGCATAGGATGTTAGAGGGCACCCAGTCCAATCCTTGTGGGCTGGCGCAGAGTGGCAGTGAAGGCAGGAAGAATGTTCGGAGAAAGTAGTGGAAGTGAACGATGGCTGTTAGCTGGCTGAATGGGAATTAATTTTGTAAATGTGTGGGGAATGACAGGGTTGATAAGTGAGGAAGATCATTCTAAAGGAAAAGGAATAAGGGTTGCTATAAGGATTATATGAGATCATCATGTAATATATTTAGCATAGTACCAGGTACACTGTAAGCGCTTAGTAAATGTTAGAACTGTGTTTTTTTATTTTATTAAAACTTGGAGACGAGAAAAGCCTGGTAAGTTTGTGGAATTGTCAGCTGTTGTTTAGAGCTGGCATGTAGTGTAAAGAGGGTGGCATGGTGAGAGATGAGGCTGGAGAGTGACAGGCATGTCATTAAAGATACCCTGGTATTTCTGGAGAGACACTGTAGGTTTTAAGCAGAGAAGGAAATTAGGCTCGTATTTTAGAAAGGCCGTTTGGCAATAATGTAGCCAATGCATTGTAGGGGTCAAGACTGAAGGAAGGCATTGCTAGGAGAGAAGAGGCAGTGTCCTGAACCAAGTGGATGGATTTCACAGAGGCAAAGAGTTAGAATCAATTGAACTGTGACATGGGATTAAATATAGGTCATGATAGAAAGGGAAGGCTTAGGGATGGTATCCAGGTTTTTGCTTGGATATTTATATGAATATTATTGCTAAACACTGAGTTAGGAAACACAAGTTTTTCTTTGTATCTTTTGGTAGGGATGAGTGCATATGAGGAGAAAAATGACATAGATGAAAAAATGTACAAGTTAATAAGATCACCTGAACTATCTAATTTTTCTAATTTTTCATGGAAATCACCAAATCAAGAGATTTGGATTCCAGCTACAGCTTTACTACTTAGTAGTTTTGTGATGTTGGATAGGTTGCTAACCTCTCTGATTTATAATTTATGCATTTTAAAATTGTGGGTACTAATAACTGTCCATTCATTCCACAAATATTGAACATATTCCACATACTACACAAGTAGTGAGGCACTGGGAATACATAACTGTTTTTGCCTCAAGGAACTATGTAGTCTAGGGAAGTTATGCCTCAAGCAGCTATGATATGGTGTTTGTTATAATAAAGATAGATGAGCTTAATAAGACTATAGAGGAAGGAGTTTATAGAGGGGCGGAGATGGGATCTAAGTTATCATAGAGACCATAGAGAGGGTAAAACTTGAGCTGATTGCTAAAGGGAAAAATGGATTTGCCAAGTAAGCAAACATCACTGACAGAGGAGCTGTTGTGAGGTTTATTTTGAATGGGAAATGCTTAAATTATAGCAAATTACTGTGAAATCTGAGTATGAGCATCACCATAGATTCTTTTACTAGTAGAATGCTAAATTCACTAAATGCCCTCATGAAAAAGTAATGCCCTAGCAATATACCTATTACCAAAAAATAGCAATATTCTGTTAATTTCATCATTTTGATTTGTTTTTCTCTTTTTTAGTGTTCCTGTTAACAACAGGGAGAATATCTCTGATCCCACCTCGCCAATGAGAACCAAATTTGTGTACCATTTGTCTGACATGTAAGAGATTTTCTTTCAACTACTACTAATATATACACACACACACACACACACACACACACACACACATATATCCTATCGAATAAAAGAGAAACATGGTAATTGGCGTACGACCGCTACCCTTCCCATTGGCTAATCAGGGCGATATGCAAATTAACTGCCAGCCAAGATGGCGGCCGGCAGCCAGGCAGCTTAAACTGAACATGAGGCTTGCTTGCATCAGTGATGGAGGAAACCAATGTTCCCCGCCTGCCTTGCCGGCCTCTGAGCTTGCAGTTTAAAAAACATTGTAACAAATATAGAAGCTAAACAAAACCCCAGAAACCAGCTTTCAGAGAGCTGGGATCTCAGAGCTGGAGTTGATACAGAGTTTCGATTATAGAACCGAAACAAACCAGATACCTGTTTTCAGCAGCTGAGGCCTCAGACTGGAGCCAAGCCTCAGAGCTAAAGTTGGCCCAGAATAAAAAAAGAAAAAGAAAAAAAGGAGCAGTTGGGAGCTTCAGTCCCAGCCTGAAAACAGCCCTCAGCCCCTTACCCAGACTGGCCAGGCACCCCAGTGGGGACCTCCACCCTGAAGGGTGTGTGACCAGCTGCAAACAGCCATCATCCCCTCATCCAGGCTGGCCAGGCACCCCAGTGGGGACCCCCACCCTGATCCAGGACACCCTTCAGGGCAAACCAGCTGGCCCCCACCCATGCACCAGGCCTCTATTCTATATAGTAAAAGGGTAATATGCCTCCCAGCACCGGGATCAGCGGAGCCGAGAGGCCTCCCGGCACCGGGATCAGCGGAGCTGAGAGGCCTCCTGGCACCGGGATCAGCGTGACAGAGGGCAGCACCCAAACCCCCTGATCGCCCTGTGGCTCTGTGTATGACAGGGGGCAGGGCCACAACCTCCCTATTGGCCCTGCTCTGTTCGTGACAGGGGAAGGCGCCCCAACCCCCTGATCGGCCCTGCTCTGTGCCTGATAGGGGGGAGCTCCCCAACCCCCTGATCACCCTGCAGCTCTGTGTGTGACAGGGAGCAGCGCCCCAACCCCCCCACCCCACAGCCCTGCTCTGTGTGTGACAGGGTAGAGCCATAACCTTCCCATCGGCCCTGCCCTGAGTGTGAGAGTGGTGGCGCCCCAACCCCCAGATGGGCCCTGCTCTGTGGGTGATAGAGGGCGGCGCCCCAACCGCCCCCCCCCCCCCCACGGGCCCTGCTCTGTGTGTGATGGGGTAGAGCCATAACCTCCCCATTGGGCCTGCTCTGAGTGTGACAGTGGCGGCGCCTCAACCCCCTGATCCGCCCTGCTCTGTGTGTGACGGGGCGGTGCGCCAACTCCCCTATCGGCCCTACTCTGTGAGTGACAGGGGGGAGTTCCCCAACCCCCTGATTGGCCCTGCTCTGTGCGTGACAGGGGGTGGCGCCACAACCTCCCCATCGACCCTGCCTTGAGTGTGACAGGGGGCGATGCCCAAACCCCCCAATCGGCCCTACCCTGAGCGTGACTAAGGGTCGCATTGCAACCTCCCAATCCGTCCTGCTCTGTGCATGACAGGGGGCGGTGCCCCAACTCCCCAATTGGCCCTGCTCTGAGCCCGACCAGGGGCTGCACCTAGGGATTGGGCCTGCCCTCTGCCACCCGGGAGCAGGCCTAAGCCAGCAGGTCGTTATCCCCCGAGGGGTCCCAGACTGCGAGAGGGCACAGGCTGGGCTGAGGTACCCCCTCCCCCCCGAGTGCATAAATTTTTGTGCACCGGGCCTCTAGTATATATATATATGTATATGTGTGTATATATATAGATATATCCTATATAATAAAAGCATATTATGCAAATTGATCCTAACAGCAGAATGACTGGGAATGACTGCTCACTATGACACACACTGACCACCAGGGGGCAGATGCTCAATGCAGGAGCTGCTCCTTGATGGTCAGTGCGCTCCCACAGGGGGAGCTCTGCTAGCCACAAGCCAGGCTGATGGCTGCGAGCACAGCAGTGATGGCAGGAGCCTCTCCCGCCTCCGCAGCAGCACTAAGTATGTCCGACAGAAGCTTAGGCCTGCTCCCTGCTGGCAATTGGACATCCCCCGAGGGCTCCCGGGCTGCCAGAGGGATGTCTGACTGCCAGCTTAGGCCTGTTCCCCCGGGGAGTGGGCCTAAGCCAGCAGGTGGTCATCCCCCGAGGGGACCCAGACTGTGAGAGGGCACAGGCCTGGCTGAGGGATCCCCCCGAGTACACAAATTTTTGTGCACTGGGCCTCTAGTATATATATATATATATATATATATATATATATATATATATGCAAGTTAATAACTTTAAAAAATTAACTTGTTAGTAGGAATGTTTTGGAAAAATATGTTGGGGTCTAAACATTTATCAATATAATTTTAACTTTTGAATACATTAATTCTCATGTTAATTATTAGGTACCATAAATTCATAAAATGTAATCACAGATAAAAGTTAGCTATAAGTTTATTCTAACAAAGAAATACTTGCCATTAGTACAGGAAGGGCTGATTTGTCTTAATAGCTCTGTAATTGGATTTCAGGCATATTAACATGTAGGTGTTTTTTTGGAAACTACAGAATTCAGCATCAAACAATTTCTTTAAAAATATTCTTCCTTCTTTGTCACTATAAATAACTTACTTAATTCCAATACACAATTGGCAATTAATCTAACAGAGTAGAAGTTGCTATATGATGTAGGGAAAACAATATTGTTTTGCCTACACCATATAGCAACTTCTACTTATATTACTTACTTTCTTTCAATTAATTTTTATATTAAAGGTTGAAAAACATCCCATAAACCATTCTACATTGTAGAGCACTGCAAAGAATGAATTTATTTTGGATACAACATTTGATGGGGATTGTCTAATGCATAGATTTGTTTTTCAGGTGTAAAAAATGTGATTCTACACAAGTGGAACTGGGAAACCAAGTGGTTACTGCCACCCAGAGCAATATCTGTGATGAAGACAATGAAACCTGCTACACCTATGACAGAAATAAGTGCTATACAAATAAGGTCCCATTTTCATATGGTGGTAAGACCGTAATGGTGGAAACTGCCTTGACCCCGGAGTCCTGCTATCCTGACTAATTAAGTCATTGTTGACTGCACAGCTTATCTTGAAAGGCTCTCCATTTTGATCCAGAAAGTTAATATATTTATTACCAATGAATTTGAAGCCACAATATTTTGATAATGTAAAACTGCATCCTCCAAGTTATTAAAATAGTAACATTGTTATTTTTATTAGGTAATTACTTCTCAACTCTTAAGTATTGTATGTTCACATTTAAAGTGTTGAATCTCTTACTGCCCTTGCCTGAAGGGGTCTATGTTAATAATATAATTTCTAACATTTAAAAAAATAGACAATGAGAGAGAACAAAACTTAAGTTTAAAAATCAGGATACAGAATTAAATTTTGTGGGTGTTTTTTGTACTTTTCTTTTCTTTTCTTTTTTTTTTGCTTTGCCTTGGAGAGCCAGAGCTTTTGCACATTCCATGCTATTCACTTTGACAAAAAGTAAAATGTGATGTGTAGAGAAAAGTGATATGCAAACACAAGTCAATTATAGATCTTCACTAAAAAAGTGATTAGAAATATGTTTTAGAAATATTTAAAAATAATTAAAATTGGATCTGTAATATTTGTGAAACCAGTGAGCTGAAAGTTACATAATTAAATGCAGAATTATAAAATTTATTTTGACATAACACAGATTTGGTAGCAGATGATACTTTTTTTTGGATAAAATTAAAAAAAAATCAGGGTCATGTAAGAAATTCCCATTGGACATCATCAATGTTGTAACTGAATCTAATGAAATATGTATTCCACAATATGTATTCTCTTGCACAGTCTGAACAATTAAATAGATTTTTAAGCATATACCTGTGTGAAATAATTTATTGGAAAAAAGTTTGTGTTAACTTTGTTGTATGTAAGTTAAATATAATTGATTACTTATGAATAGTTTGTAAGCATGATGTGGTTATGCATTAATCACTGAATTCATACATGTACTTATCTGAGATAGCCTTGTGATTTAAAACTAAAATTAAACAAGAAGGCAAGGTCCCTCAGGACAAACATAGTGTTCCTAAGTATAGTTAACATCTCTCACCTCATACAATTACAAGCAATTCTGTTTCTTGTGATAAGAACTTTTGCGGGGAGATAGTTTCTGGAGAGGCTCCTCTCTGTCTCCTCATCTTTGCCTTGGTTTTTTTGCCTACCTAATAGGAAAAGGTTTTGTGACCACATTGCCTCATTAAATTCCAGCTAGAAGAGCACCTCAGACTTATAGTCCTGGGGCCTTCCTTCTTTTAGAAGTTCAGTTAAACTCGAAGATCCTCATATTAGTAACAGTTTAGTACTTACCATTAGCTAGGCATCAATCAGTGGTTTAAGTATTAACTCATTCAATACAAATCCAAAGTAGCTGGTGGCTCTTAAGTGAGAGTTACTGAAGAAAGATGAAAGCGGTCCTGTTAGTTTTACTCATATGTTTGCTTGTATTAGTCAACAATTAGCAAGGAAACACCAAGGAAGCAACGCAGAGGAGGCAGCTCTGAAAAGAGCCTCTCGATTGTTTGCAGGGAGCGCATTTGACCCATGGCTCTGGTACCCACCACTGTGTTTGTATGAGGTACATGGGCTGCCTGAGAGGGTAAGGATTCTAATACAGACCAGTGCCTGGGACACACAGGACTCCTCTGATGGGTGACTGACTTGAGGACTCCCCATCAGCTTCACTGAAAATTTCTTAGCACCACACCTTCATTATATATTACTTATGCAATCTTCCTTACCACCTTCTTTCCTCCACACAGGTCAGACCTGAGTCAGAGTCTGATGGCTCTCCCAGCCTTCTTGGGCTCCTGCCCCATTTTCTTTCACAGGTGTTTTTCCTAATAAATATCTTGTACCTTTAATTTCATCTTGGATTCTGCTTCTGTGGGGCCTGAATGAACATAGTAGCCAATTATGAGGTATCTGATTTAATGATGATGATGTTGATATTGAACATTATTCACATCCATGTGATTCACCTATGTTATTTAATTTTATCCTCAGAATGACTCTTGGGCTTACCTTTATGTTATTGAGAAAATGAACTCGGTGCATAATTAATAGTCTGGTTCACTGGTCTCTTAAATGGCAATGAAAACTCAATCACTGCCATAGCCTCAACAAATATCAATAGAAGCCCTCTGATAATCATTTTGCCCACTATAACATTTTTTACAGTTACTGTGACATTTTGAGGTTAATGTGACCAATTTACTGATCTGTTATAAGTCAATTATTTCTGTCCTTTTCTGTCCTTTTAAAATGTGAATTAAATGGATGCTGTTTTTAAAGGACAGGTATAAGTGGGTATTAGTGGTGAGAATGTTTTTCTTCTGCATAGTGCTTAGCTATTACTTACTAGTAAGTGAGCACACTCAGCACCAGCCAGAGAAAATTACATTAATTAACAATAAGAGTAATGTTCCTTTGTGCCAGGCCCTTGAAAACCAGTAGACACAGTCAAGTATTCACTTTAAGACTATGGATAGGAATGATTTTTAATGATCTTTCCAGGTCTTGGCTTTGGATGGCTGTGTAGCTTAGTGGGTAAATTCATGGCCTAGATTCTATACTTAGTGACTAAATGACATCACTAAGGCAAGTTCATTCAATCTGATTAAAAATAGGAGTAAAAACAACTCTCTCATAGCTTGTAAAAATAAGGATACATGCAATCATTTATGTACACCACTCATTACAGCTATTATAGCATTCAGTAACCCTCTGTAAATTACAGTTGTCATTGTGTGTTAATTGACTTCTGGCTCTTCTTTTTATCCAGGCAACAAATCAGAAAACAATGTGATCGTATAGGATCACTGATTCTCAGTTTTTAGCATGCATGAGATTCACCCCGAGGACTCATTGAAACAGATTCCTCCCTCCCAACCCCCATGATGACTAAGTAGTTCTGGGATACAGCAGGAGCAAGTACATTTTTCAAAAAATTTCCAGCAGCTGCTTGGAATCCTGTGAGAACCACGGCTTTAGAATTATAAGCTTCCATCTCCTCCTGGTGGTTGATTTATGAAGTACAATGCATATTCATTTTTAACATGTTTCGTTTAATCCTCAACTGCCCTATGAAATAAGTACTACCTTCATTTTACAAATGATGAAACTGAGATGCAAAGAGATGAAGTAATATTCATAGGTTTTACAGATAGTGTATGGAGAAGTGGTAATTGAATCCAAGACTGTCCATTTTCTGATGAAGCACAGAAAAGAAGGTGCTGGGTCTTAGGCAGATGAAATGGACACTGAGTGCAGAGGACCGCGATTGGGGAAGTGATGGGCTTTGAGAGCCGCTTCATCTATTTCACAATCATATCTGTGCCCAATTACAGCTCAGCTTTCTCCTTTATTTGAAGAATTCTGCTCTGCCAAATGGGATTTTGTTTGTTACCCGCTAAATCCTGTTTCTAAATCTTATTGGCCATGATTTCAAAATGAGAGATAAAGGTCTAGTCAGTGGCTGATGTTAAGGGCTAAGGGTGAGAGGCAAGGAAGAATGGGTGGACCAAACCAAAAGCTTTGATTCTGTTGTGAAATGGTGATTACCTATTTCCCAAAAGTGCAGTTTTCTGAGTTTTAATGGGGCAGTTGGTCTGAGTCACAGTGAAACCTCTGAGGTTTTGTGAAGGAGGGTGACAGTTGTTGATTTGAATCCAACATTTCTAGTTCCCTTTTTGGCTTTTAGAAATGAAGTTTGGCTTCCTGAGGGCGAGCTGAATCTTCTTTAGGGTCCTTCGGGTCATGACTGAAGCAGCCTGGGATATGTCAAAGCAAGCAATAAAAGTAACTCAAAGGTCATGTCTTGTGAATTTCCTTTGAAGGTGTATTAAGTTAAGACTCTGATGTGAATGATTAAAGTGAAATATGTTCAGGGCATTCAAAAAGCCAGAGGAAGAATCTTCATGATGATGGCTGCTAGACTAAGTGTTCAGAGGTGGCTGGACCCTACATTCATTATCCTACTTCACTTTCTGCTTCAAGTGGAAAAGTTCAAGGTTTTCCCCAGCCAACTGGATCAATGGCCAACTACCCTTTAAAGAAGTCTATTTCAGGCTGTGAGACAGAAACTCGTATAAGTCAGTTGTATTAGCCTTGCTGGATTATCTCCTATTTGCCATCCTCGGGTGTTATTTTCTTTCTCGTTTATTTACATTATCATCTAAATATATGGCTGGGATATATCCAGCCATTTAAAAATCAGCAAGTGATAGCCACAAGATGTAGGAACTTGCCATGGAAATGGAGAAATGGCAGTGGGCTGGGAGTGCTAGAGACAAGAGGGGGTCACCTCGGAGCCTGCCATCCCACTGCATGCACCTTAACTTTAGAGCTGACTTTAAAAGCTTTATCAATAACTTAACAAGGGCACACAGAATAATTCCTTTACTGCAAGGAACTCAGGCCTGGTATCCAGGTTTGCAGAAGGATACCTGTGCTGATGAAGAGTCATTTTCTACAGGGACATTTTCTCTTTTTATTTTCTCACTATAGTCTCAAATTTAATAGATATTTTTGTCCCCATTGTTTATATTTTACATTACAGAGGTCTCAGATGATAAATTAAGTTCCAGTGACTCATAGATGAAGATTGTCAGCATATCTGCTAAGACAAGTGTTTGATCCATACATTTTGATGAAATAGTGAAGTGAAAGAGTATTTTTACAATGAAAGGCATTCATATCTAGATTAAAAAGTCATTTGAAAAAAGTAGTGAAACACAATGTAATTTTATTTTGATGAGGATAATTCTTAAGAGACAGTTTATTTAGAATAAGTTAATAATTTCGCAATGAATGATTCAAATATAAAACCGGTGGTGCATTTATTAAGGAACTAATAAATGGCCTAGACAGTCTACCTCTAAGATCCCTTCTTACCCTGAGATTCTATAATGCAAATGTTGCCGAGTACATTAAGCTACAGAATGTGGTGGCTCATTCAGCACCCCCAATGGTTTAACGGGCAGGAAAAGCACTCTGTGGTATTTTCATGGGAGCTTTAAAAGCTGTTTTAAAAAACAGTCAACCAATAAATATTTATCAGATATCTACTATGTGCAAAAGACACAGAGCCAGGAACATTAGAAGACTCAAAGGACAAGATTCGTTTCCTCAGGAAGTTTTCAACACTCTATTTTCTCAAATTTCAGAGGTTTTATGAAATCTGTCCTGATGGTCACACCTCAGAAGCAGGACAAGGGAGGGTGAGAGAGGGTCAGTATGAGATCAAACAAAAGACTTGTATGCATGCATATAAGCATAACCAATGGACACAGACAGTGGGGTGAGGGCCTGTGCTGGGGGTGGTGGGGGTTGGGGAGCAGGCTGGGAGAGGTCAATGGAGGAAAAAGGAAACATATGTAATACTTTCAATAATAAAAAATTAAAATAAAAAAGAAAAGAAAAAAGGAGTATGACCTAAGAAGAAGAAGAAAAAAATACAAAGAAATCTGTCCCAGGAAATTTCTCCTAAGAATTCCTTAGAGTTAGAAGGTAACTTTCTAGGTAATTCTGAGAATTATTTTTCTCTAGGAAAGAATATATAGATAGTGGGCCAAATGCCATTAATAAAAACAAAACAAAATACCTAGATGTATTCTAAGCAAGGCGATATAAAAATGTCTACTTTACAAAATAATTTACACTATTTAATCAAGATATGAAGAAAGTGTGTCTGCAAATAATTCTAGTAGGACATGAAGAATGAAAATCTTTATGTTTCCCTGGCCCATGCTGCTCAGCAGTTAGAGCATCAGCCCACACACTGAAAGGTTATGGGTTCGAATCCTGGTCAAAGGCAC